CATGATTATCTATAGACGTTATTGGTTCCACTGTGCTAGGTATTTCTTTGTCTATAGATTCCTCCTTAGACTCTTGAACGTTGGAATCTTGGGGGTAGGTAGTGGGCTCTATCTCCTCCAGAACAGGTTCCTCTGGAGGTGTGTCTTCAACACAATTAAGGATATGGTCGTTTATTGCCATAGGCAAAACTTCCTCCTCCTTCTGTTCTTGAATAGGTGGTTCTGAGTCAGGTCCCTCAGTTGGTTCCACCTCATGTACGACTATGCCGGTTGGGACTTGGCTAGGCAGGGATTCAGGTGACATCACCATAGTAGCCCTAGCGAGAGTTGTTATGCTCTCGGGTTTCTGTGGTAGTGTTGGTCTGGGTGAATCTTCTAGAACTGGAACCTGATGGTTGGATGGTTCAGGGTTGGTCCTGGGTTCTAGAGCCTCTTTTTGAACATTAATCTCCCTCATTTGATCTTGAGATTGGAGGGAGCGTTTAAGTTCAACAGCCCTGTAGAGATCATTGACTAATTTATCAGCTTTAGCCTCAGCTTCTAGTCTCTCTCTTTGGAAGTCATCCAGCATTTTCTGCATCAATTCTGATCCTTCGTGTAATCTCCTTTTGAATTACTTTTCCTTCCGGAGTGATTCAAGAAGTTTTGCTCTTTCTCGAATTGCCACCTTGTTTGCTTCAATTTGTTCTTCAGCAAACAAGGCGTAGTCACGGCAGTAAGGTGGTTCGTACCAGGAGCCTCCAGCAAATAAAACTTCGTCAAAATAGAAGATTTTCTGTTCTAATCTTAGGATTTCTTTGACGAGTGGATCAGGTTGATTGTCATACATAGGCCCATTGTGGTCATAGTCATCTTGGTCGCCATGAGGTTCATAATAATTATCCCCATCAGAATCTTGGTATGGAGAATATCCAAAGTTCCTAGATGGGGTATCATATGTTGGTTCATCATGGTAGGGATAGTAGTCAGACCCATTATTGACTTGGTAGTCATCATCGTATGGGTTCTGATGCGGGTGGTAAGGTGGATGGGTTTGAAACGGAGGGCGGTTAGGTGATTCGTAGTAAGAAGGTGGGTCGTAATAACCACTGCAGTTATCCATAATAATTATTACGAGTGGCTGGTGAAAAAGAAGTAAGAAGATCGTTCTAACCAATCTTCACCCAAGCTAATCAGAAGAAATTAAACTAATGCCGTGCCACTCCCCGGCAATGGCGCCATTTGACAATTGTAGTTTTTCGGGTAGTAAACCTTCCCAACAAAGGGTTAGTTTTCTCTCGGAGTGTTATATCTGGGCCCGGCCCTATCCTACCCTCCCCCATGTCCCACACTCCCATGGGAACCAAAGGACTTACGTTCAAACATTATGATCCATTTTAGTAACAATTAAAAGTCCTTTAACCCGGAAGGCCAAATAACTTTCGTTTTTGACCTCGGGGTTCCACTGGCCAATCCTCTTTTCGTCCAACCCAACCCCAAAAATCCAAAAGTATTTTATTTCCTTTTGATATCCAAAATAAAGTTCTTCCTACTCTTATTTTAGCCCCGGGCCAAAAATAAGAGTGTGTAAAATAAAACCTTTTGTTTGTTGTTTTTTTCCTTCTTTAAAAGCCTTTATTGAGCCAGTAAAACCCTCC